GTGATTTATCAAATCAGCTTCTCATTCATAACATAAAGTGATCGAGCATCAGCATAAGTCTGTCGTCAGTCAAATCTGTTAAAGTCTGGTCTCTTGTTTGTTGGCTTGTGCGTACTAATAGTATGTATTCTCATTGCAGTGCGCAGCTCTCACAGATAAACATCTCTTCAGAGGCACTTTAGGAATACTGATTGGGATGGCCATTTGCAATATGAAAATGAATTCCTAAGCCCTTCAGTTGCCTTCATCTGGGACTGATCTTAGGTCAGCCCCCACAAGGCTCATGCACGCTGCGTAATTCATCCCTCCGTATTATCTTAATAATGATAAATTTGTTGCCTTATGAGTAGAGATGTATCCGCTGATGGGGCTTTGGCTGTTATTTAGGAAGGGGTTTGGATCACTTTTGCCCTCTAATCCTACGGATAATGAGGGGGGGCTGTCACCATCACAGAATTGTATTGTAATTGTTAAGAGCAATTTACGGTACATGTAAGAAATATAACTGATTATGAAGTGCAATCTTTGCATTGTTTTTAGGTCTGTCCAGGGAGGTAGTAATCAATATTTGAGCAAATTTGTCTGATGAGGTAAAAGCACACACACACACACACACACACACACACACACACACACACACACACACACACACACACACACACACACACACACACACACACACACACACACACACACACACACACTATCAATTACACTTACATTTTTATAATAATATACTGTGTAATTCATGCCAAATTAGACATTCTCATCTTTTTCTTTTCAGTGTTGAAACTTAATAATTAATAAACACAATCAATCAATCACATTTATTTATATAGCACATTTAAAAACAACACATGTTGGCCAAAGTGCTTTACATGTACCAGGATCTAACAAATTCATACAACCTAAAAAAGCACAAGACCAAATACAAAACAAATACAAAAATCACTGTAAATTAAACAATCGAACGCAAGTGAGAATAAATGGTCTTTAAGTGAGATTTGAAAACTTAGAGATAGGTACAGGATCATGCACAAGGACGTTATTTTGAATGTAGAATAGCATTAATGTCCTTATGGGCTTGTTGGAATTTTTATAATATCTATTAGGGTTATCAAACCTCCTTAGGAACAGTCTGTGTTAGTCTGTCTTTCTTAGCTTGTGTGCGTGTTTAAGTTTAGATCTGGCCTGTCAGGCTAATTGATGACTACTGGGTGCATTTCGGAAGCCAAGGGCACGGAAACTCCTCGGGAAAGTCCCTGTTGCGTGTCTCTTGGGCCTCTCATTGAACACTGAAAGACTGGCAGGGACACTTCAACCCTGCAAGAAGTGGCTGGGTTACACCCACCCTCCTTCCTTCCTCCCAGCATGCATGTGGCCTCCTTACCAGCAACAAGGTTAACATTTGTGTCTGGGGAGTGGCAGTGCTGCTTTCTGTCTGTCTTGATACATGCTTGAATTCTATGTTTGTGTCTTTGTTTCTTTCTCTCGCCTCTATCGTTTGGAAATCCGAGTAAAGACCGTAATCTAGTTTTCTTTTTGTTCCTTGTAATACGTTTTTAATTATGAGCCTTTGGGGCCTTAATTTTCATACAGACTTCATGGTAAAGTGTTTGTTCAAACATATACAAGCGCACACACTTTTGCACGAATCGTGACTCCCGGCTGGCATTCATTAGGGCTTGTAATTGATTGCACATGGCGGCTGAATATGTGATATGTGTATGTTCCCTCACACGAAAGGTGTAGAGGGGAATTGCCTGGTCGTAGCATTGTTAGCCGTCTCCTGGGGGGACAGATTTCCTGTGCTTGCTTTGCACGCGTGGCATGCTGTTGGCCAAAGCGACGGGCCAGTGGTGAGGGAAATGCCACATGCCAGAAGATTTAATCAAGGCTGACAGTTAAGGCATGTAAGAAATGGGCACCATCTAAGAGAATAAGAGAAAACTGTCGCTTGCTATCTACCCATACTTTTTCATAACTATAAAAGGGAAAAAAAAGAAAAGAAAAAAATTAGAAAAGATAAAAAAAAAAAACAAGAACAAGGCCTAACTGCTCATACTGGACATGTGTATGCAATTACACCATGATGTACACAAACTCTTTGTTGTCTGTGAGATGACGGATGGCTGCAACTAATCACCACATCTGAAATTTGATCATCTAGAGTTCTTTTGAAGCCACATCTAATATGTATGTCAAGTGACTAAAGATATCATCAATTTCACAGACGATTTTGGTGAAGTCATATTAGATATTAATGTAGTGGCTCTGTAGAAAACGATTATCTTTAGAAATAAACCAAGAAATGTCAATAATAGCAAACCTGCAAAATATTAGACAACTTTTTTTTGTTATAAAGAAACTGCGAAATAAATATTTACCTTAATTAATAAGTAATTTAAAAAGACACAATTTAAGAATTCGTTCACACAACTTTCATAATGTAATTTCCATAACAGTTCATTGTGTCGGTGATGTCACATAAACATCATTGATACTACGTAAGTTAACCACTACAAAATAAACCAGTGTTCGCCGGCACTTTCAAATTCCTGCTTGTCAAATTCCGGAGTGTTATTGATAAACAATTGTTTCTCTGTGCAAATTGCTTTCATGTTGTCACCATATTCCAAAATCTTTTTCACTTGTTCACAAGCATCACTAAAACAGTGTTATGAATATTCTTTGCTTTTTTTGTGACTTAAAACACTGTTTATATGTGGATGGGATGCCACAGTGCAGAGAAATATTGTATTGTGGATGGGGCCTAAATTATACTGTGAATGTGGCATGATAAATGTTTGCACATACTCAAGAAATGATATTAAACCCAAATGAATATGAAAATGAAACCCGTGGATGTCTGTGTGTGTGTGTGGTGTGATCTCCATACCCTAGGTGAGAATGAAAAGTTTTCAGAACCTGTAACCTCTCTTCCCCTGCCAGTAATCTCCTCAGAACCCTTTAATCCTGGGCGCATGTAGATGCCGCGACAGGAATATTGCTGTTCATTTTCTTAATCTGCTCTCAAATGCCTTTCTGTTCCCTTGACGAAGCGCCCCTGCTCGCCTTGTTCTGTGGGGAATTAAGTGTACTTCACAGGATTCATGCAGAGGTAGATATTCTGGTCATGATGGAGCTTTAAGGAACACCCGTGCTCACGCGAGATCTCCAATGGCGCATTTCTCATAAATAGAGCAAGTGAAAGTGTGGAGGTATATATGTATATATGTATATATATATATATATATATATATATATAGAGAGAGAGAGAGAGAGAGAGAGAGAGAGAGAGAGAGAGAGAGAGAGAGAGAGAGAGAGAGAGAGAGAGAGAGAGAGAGAGAGAGAGAGAGAGAGAGAGAGAGAGAGAGAGAGAGAGAGAGAGAGAGAGAGAGAGAGAGAGAGAGAGAGAGAGAGAGAGAGAGAGAGAGAGAGAGAGAGAACACATGCCAAGCACTGGCATGATGAGTGTCTGCATTTGAAATCTAAGGAGGAGTAAAGCTGGTTTAAGTTGGCCTGGTTAATCTGTGTGCCCGTTTCATGTGACAGAGAGAGACAAGCCTGCACACCTCATTGAGAGGCTGAATATTATGCATTAAAGGCTTCAGTAGACAGGTAGACGGATAGAAAGATTGAAGCAGGCAACATGCAGTGCCTCATATCAATGGATAGCATGACACAGCCTACTGTAGAGCTTTTAGTCTGTTTGAGGACCTTTCCTTTAATCACCCTAATGATTCTCATGACATATTATAATATCATGCACATTAAAATGTTAACAACATGTGTTATAATAACCTGTCTGATTCATTTTCTTAGTATGGATTATTTGTTTCTGAAAGCTTGTGAAAATGCTTTTAATTCGTATAATCTCATAAAGCTTTTTTAGCCTGGTTTGCCTTACTGTACATGTTTCAGGCAGATTGTTACAGGTTATCTACCCTCAAGTAATATAAATGGTACATTATATATTCTAAACAAATAGATCATTTATACTATGATAGATCAATACAGGACATTGAAGTTGTTTTGTAAATGTTCTCAACCAAAAACAGATGGTTTATTTAATTTCCCTTATTTTCTCTTATTCTCTTTTTATGGATTGAGTATGCCAGTCAGTTGCTGGTGTGTGTGTGTGTGTGTGTGTGTGTGTGTGTGTGTGTGTGTGTGTGTGTGTGTGTGTGTGTGTGTGTGTGTGTGTGTGTGTGTGTGTGTGTGTGTGTGTGTGTGTGTGTGTGTGTGTGTGTGTGTGTGTGTGTGTGTGTGTGTGTGTGTGTGTGTGTGTGTGTGTGTGTGTGTGTGTGTGTGTGAGCAGGTGAGTCCTGTGTGCCAGCGGAGTGTAAAATGTGGCACTTGGATTGACACCCGAATGACAGATACCAGTGAAACTCACTCTCGCTTCAGACACCTGAGATTATTCTCAGGGAGCTGAAGCTATAAACAAAACATTGTCAATGGCTGCACTCGTGGATTGCCGTCCTCTGTTTTTTCTTTCTTTTGTGTTGCCATTTCAGCCCCACCCCCTGTTATTCAATAAAACATGGACGAAGGCTAAAATGTAGTGAAGAGAATATTTTTTTTTGTGCTGTTACTTGAAGAAACTCAATTATAAATGTATTGAGAGAAGCCTGTTCAACTCACTGAGCGGAACTAGGGGGCGATGGTGTGTGATGGAAATTCGTTCTTTTGAAACGACATGCTGTGTACATTTGCATGTGATTCTTCTGTCTGAAAGTGTTTGTTTGTGTTAATTCTTCATCCCCCCCAAAAAAACATCCCATGTCACAATCCTCAGCCCTGCAGAGTTAGTGAACAGTGAATGGAATACGGTTGGTTTGGTTCGCATGTGTGTTTTATGTTTATATTGGATGAGTTTTTTCCACACGCGGCTTCGAGCCACACTTCTGTGGATCCACTTAATTTTCTCTGTCCCAATTTCAACGCCTCCCATGGAAAATGCTGATTAGTCTTTTACTTTGTATCCCCTTCTTCAGGTCACCTTGTAAGGAGGGTCGTCTGGCGGTTGGGTGCGTGGAGGGGGAGGCAGCCAAGTGCCACACACACACTCCTTAAGACTTATGAGTGCATCATAACCTTGACCAAGACAATCTGTTCAACGACACTTAGCGAAGATTCCTCATGATGTCCCTAAGAGCCGCTGGGACTCGGCTCTTCTGTTCTTTCTGTGCGCTATCAGCTCAGCGCCAGATCGCCGCCCTTACCGTTCAACGGCCATTACTCCATTTGCAAGATAAATCTGGACTGCCGTGTCAAATCAATCACAACTGTCATTTCATCCACTCAGACCACAGCACTAAATTAAAGCCTTTTTGGCCCATATGCATTCCAAATAGTCATCAATTCTCCGCGGTACATTCATTGTTTGCTTTGACAGCTGCAGGCAGGTAACGAATGATAGGTAGTTTAATTTTGAGGCAGTGTGGGTTGGCATGGACGCTAGGCGGCAGTTGTTTGCGTCCTTTTTCTGTACTGCAATTGTACGTCTCATGTTGTGTGCACTCCATCTTCCCCTTCTTGGTGAGAGGGAACGCTAGTATATCACATTTTCCCTTTTTTTTGCATGGCTGTCGTACATGTGTCGACATTGTCTGTTAGCAAGTGTCTGAAATGTATATCTGGGTAAATATTTGTATCACCAAGGACGTGGGTAAGAACAAACAAGTGTTCCTGTAGGCCTTTGGTGAGGGACCCTACAGGCTTACAGCATGTCTACAGTGTGAATACAGCATGAAAACAGTCGTTCTGTTCTCAGGCCACGGTTCTGATCCCTGTCCTCCTCCTTGTTAGTCTGTAATAAACATGGCTTGTCCACTAAAAGATGACATGGAAAGGAAGATTTAGTCAGCAGCTGCGGGCTTTATTTTTTTATTATTTGAATGTGTTATTTCTTTTTGACATTGGATTAGGGATGTTAGTTTAAATAACATGTCTTTTCAGCCGATTGGGGTCACCGTGGACTGCGTGACAGACGTCATTTTTGGGATGTTGGGGAAAATTCCACAAATGTTGGCGATTGGTAGTCGAAAAGATTTTGTCCTTCTATCAAACATATTGTAAACAGCAGATAGCACAACATATTTTGTAAACACATCCTGACACTGGAAGATAATCCTCACCCATGTGACTCATTTACAAGTGCTGTTGGTTTAGCTAATGCAAAAACAAGGATCACTTTACTTTCACTGCCAGATTTTTGCCTCTCTCACTCTCTTTTTGACTCACCTTGCCACATGTGCTATTGTGTTCTGCAGAGATGAGAAATGAGGGGCTTTCTGTGCTGCTGATACCTGTTATTTGATATCACAGCCTTGCAACAATTCATCCTAATGTGCTGTTTAAAGGATTTGTTGGCTCATAATGCACTGATATTAGTTTAAAATATTGCTACTTTGCAAAGCAGCGCAGATGGGCCGGGCTGATGCAGCAGGCGTGAGGGAACGGGCTGAAACTCTCAGATATGAGATGTATTAAATGCACGAGTGATTCTGATGCGTTTTACTGTAATTGATTCTTTTCAAAGGTGTCTTCTCACTTTTCACCACCTCGCTCGCTTGCTCTGCCAAACTCTCACTCTCTCCCTCCCTCTCTCTATATCACTCGCACATTCTCTCTCGAGCATTTTTAAGAAGCACTGGAGTGTAACACTGTTTAATATGATACATTTGCCTATTTCTTTAGGTCTTGACTCCTAATGGCTAGTTAAAATGAACGTTTTGTAATCATTTACTCCCACTGTCATTCCAAACCTGTATAACGTTCTTTCTTCTGTAAAATACAAAGGAAGAAATTTTTAAAAATGTAATTTTGTATTTTTGTCTATGCAATAACAGTCAGTGAGGTCTAGTGTTGGTTTGATTTGTATTTTAAAGAAGAAAGAAAGTTATTGTTTGGAATGACATGAGGGTGAGTAAATAATTACAGAATTGTCATTAACCAGCAGATTTAATATGAGCAGATTTATTGTATATCATGTGAATGATCTGGACAAATATTATTAACAAAAGAACCATTAGTGTAAGTGTAATAAGTCAAGTAAGGAGTAAGTTCTCCATCAGTCAGTGCTCCTTAAACTTTCCATCCCCTTACCCAAATACAATAATATTACATTTTTATCTATGAGGGTTTTCGCTCACCATTCACCAATTCGCTCATTGTTGTTAATTCTTCAAGTTGTGATTTTTTTCGGTGTCAGCGCCAGGGCAGAAGTGGGTGTTGTCTGTATAGTGTAACAATGTGAAATGCAAAAAAAATATATATATCCAGAGCCATTACCTACATGCACTGTATTCGTAAACAAGGCAAGTTATTTTAGAAATGAGGTAATTAAGCAGTTCCAAAATGAACCCAGCCCCCGCTCTGAGCGCTGTCATTTGCATGCCTTTGAATATACTGCTTGTCTCTAAGGGGGTTTCCTGCTGATGAGATTCTCAACGCCATGCCGTCTTTGTTTTAAACACCACAAATAAGCAAACAAACGCATGCCAGACTGCTTTCTTTCTTTCTTTCTTTCTTTCTTTCTTTCTTTCTTTCTTTCTTTCTTTCTTTCTTTCTTTCTTTCTTTCTTTCTTTCTTTCTTTCTTTCTTTCTTTCTTTCTTTCTTTCTTTCTTTCTTTCTAATTCTCTCTCTTTCTCTTTGTAAATTACCTACAGCCCGATCCTGCCTAAAAAGGACGTTTCCCTGGACAGAAAAAAGGAAAGAAAAACTTGCTCATGGTGATTAGAAAAGAAGAGACAGGACAAACAAGAGAAGTTGAGTCACAGATCTTTTCTTTTGGTCTTAATTAAAAAGACCATACATCAGTGAGGCAGTGCCTCTATTCATCCAGCTGATTAGGGACATGACAAATGAATGAGGGAATAAACAGGGTGTCAGCAGAGAGAGGGAGAGATGGATGACTTTTGGTCTGAAGAGAATGGAGAGGTACAGTTAACCCTGGCTCTGGGCCAAGGCCTGTAGTCCCCTTTCCTCTCACCTCACCCTTCGGGCCTAACTCAAGCTGACACACCCTGCCCCAGCTTGTGACCCAGCCTCCACTTCTATTTATTAGGAAATCAACACCCTTAAAGGGAGACGCACACTTCATCACTATGCATCGCTGTACCTCCGACCACTGCCTCGTTTAGCAAATGGGCGAGCGAAATAATAATATGACCATTTACAAGGTATTTTAAAGATTGATTTAATGAATGTTTTTTGGACCTCTGCTGGATGTAATGCTCAGAGCTCAGATGAATGAGTGCAATAGAATGTGTAGCACTTGTTGTGAAGATGTAATTATGAATCAGACACGGTGAAAACAGCTGCCGTATTTGAAGAGAGTCGATTAAAGGCCGAAAGCGCACAATGCTCCGTTAAATTCAACCCGGCTCCTTTCAGTACTAGAGCCGGCCAGGCTAATGGGTTCATTCAAGTGTTTCACCGCGATTGAAAGAACCAGTGAGTGAGAAAGAGAGGGAGAAACGAGGTGGAAAGATTGTGAGATCATTGTGAATTACAAACTATTAAAGGCCACAAAGGAGATATCATTTAAGATAGCTCTTTTTTTTTCTTTCTCTGAAAACTGGGTTCAAACTGGATGCAGGGCTGAATGGTGTTGCGTAGATGAATAGTTAATTTTTCTTTGTATTTTTACAAAGATTAATGTGGTTCTCCTCATCACCTTTCATTTATTCATTTATCCACCCACTATTCAAGCAGACGTTGTCTTTCATTAGAAAATAGATAAATAAATTAATAAAAGACTGAATTGTTTTTTCAATTACTGGAGTCGAGCCGCACGCTGGCTAAACAAAGATATTCAGGCAGGAACCAACCAGACAAGTGGAGATTATACATTACCTTAGTATGTGATTTAATAACTCACATTTTCTTTTATTGTTTTTCTATTTTCATTCTACTCCTTTCCGGAGCTTAGGCGCGCACTGACTGTTTAATAGTCAGAGAAAGATGTGTTTCTTTCCACAGTCAGTGTTAACAAAGACGTCCAGAATGAGGTCGGTGTGCTAGCTGCAATACAGAGAATCCTCAATCAGAAGACTTGAAATTGGATTCATAGTTCACTTCATGGAAAGCAGCAGAAAATATTAAATCATTTTCTTTATTGGATTAAATTAATTATGGAGAGACTGCATATTAGATATAGGCTAAAAGAGCTTTTAATGTGCTCAATGAGAGCCTTCAGCCTTTCTTGGAATAGGCATAAATCTATCTCTGCTGCTTATTACATTCTGTTCCCTTCCACTGCCTGCCTTTATTTAAAGTATTAGTCATTTTTTCAACACAATAAATGCCCTTCAAATTCCTAATCTAGCTTCCGCTGTTCTCCAAACACAGACATATATAAGCAGGCAAATGGGCACACACACACACACACACACACACACACACATTGTTCTTTGTTTACGTGTTGGGCTTTAAACTGAAGGTACAGTATGGGTGGTCACACTTTGGTCACACTTGTCACTGACCATTCTTCATGTTAAATTGATGTGTCTTATCTATTTCTCGAGCAAATCAGTTTCTTTTTTGTTTGCAGTGACCATATCATCTTTTGATGTAGGACTTTATGAAGCTTGAAGTGAAAATCTCATACTTGGGGATTTGTCAATGATGTCATTGCAATTCTGTTGCTGAGAGATGATTGATGAGCATAACAATCTGTGCAGGTAATTAAAATGCCAGTCACACTTAACCAGTAAGAAGAAAATGGGAAAGAAGGATTTTAACTGAAACAACATCCAACCAAATGGATTGACTCTTTCAAAGTGAGTCTCACTTTCAGAGATAGATGACACCTTGTGTAGATGTGTGTTATAAAGGAAGAGAGGGGAAAAGCAGTCTTTAGTTTCGGTATCATCCTGGTTGATGTCATAGTATTAAACTCTCAGTTTGCACATTCTAGAGATGCAATTAAAAGAACAAATGTTCAGTTTTGGCCCTCGGTAAGCAGTAAGTTTTAACCTTGCAGACAGTGAACATAGAAGGCATTTGTTGAAACAAAGGAGAGGAGGAAGATACACTGACTAATTGATTCTTATTCTTTATTACACTGTAGTCAAAGTTACACCCGCACACACACACACACACACACACACACACACACACACACACGCGCGCTCACACACACACACACACACACACACGGAGACATACACAATCACTATGGAAGTCAGATTAAGGTACTGAGGCAGGGCAAAATATGGGCATTGATATAAATCTGTCATTTGGATATTCCCCATGGTGCTTTGCTTCTTAGTGCAACTAAATAACCTCTAAGCCCTCTGAGGTTAAGACCTAAACATGTTTAAGTTTTTGAGGCAATCAAGGCTTATTTTA